CACAGTGTATTCATTAATTTTCATTTTCATGTAGTAAAGGCTCTATGCCTTCATAAAGGACGTACTTTTCCTTTGTTTAAGGGTATTTGGGCAGTTTATTCTCTGTTATATTCTCAAGTAAACAATACATACAAATACAGTACAGTATTTTCTGAGGAAACACTCGTACTTATTTTTTTAACCCCATTTCCGATAACCCGGCATTTTCACAAACTCGGCCACCCTTCGGTCCACATTAGGCCGAGTTTTCGAGGTTCTACTGTATAATATTTTTGTTTTCAAATAACAAGGAAAACTAATGTTAAAATTAACAATAAAAGAGAATTTTATATCGTAATCAATATGACATTAAATTACAATTGTGTTTACAAAAATAAATAAATCAGTGAATTATCAACATGAAAAAATTCTATTTCACTTGTAAAAATTCATACGATTTACTCAAATTTCCATGCGATATTTTCGAATGTAAACAATATTCGTTTTAAATGTACTATACGTGGTTTAAAACAATGGATGCTCAGTATCGACAAATTATGTATAACAGCAAAACGTCCTGCTGTCATATATTACCGCAACAGTGTGTATTTTTATATTTTATAAATGTATACGCCACTAATATCACATTGTTTTGTCCCAAGATAATTGTTGTCTAACGATCCAAAGTATTTAAACTTAATTTGCCTCACTTCCTGCTTCGGTTACGTAACTCCAGGAAGTCTACAGAATAACAATCTTTTGCCTTTCTGTTAGAAAATTTTATTTCGTGTATGTATAATATTAGAAGTTATTTTCACATTTAATTTTTTAATTTTTTCCCTCTTATCTCATCTATATAAAGGCATGCTAAGAAAGCCGGATGCCGAGGCGATTAAGGCTCGTCTACTCGTCTACTGCTCCAGATGTCCCGAGTCGGAATTCGGACAAGCAAAATCAAGAATGTTTACGAGCGTAGCTTGGGTCTCATTGTGGTGTTCGACCTACTCAGGTCTTTACCCCATCGTGGAACTGGCTGAACATCGACATAGAATAAAAAGAGTTCTTAATGATTATATTATAATGAGTTTAAAAATTAAAAAATCACGTTATTTAACGCATGTTTTTACATATTTTTACCAAAAATAATTTATTACCTAAACAAACAAAATTGTTCTATTATGCATTCAATTTAATACTTAGATAATTTTTCTCTTTTTTCTTAGCATTTACAATTAATTCCACTACATCCAGGAATCTTTAAACGCGCAATTACAAGGAGATATATATCAATATTGCTGTATAAGTACGTACTGTACGCGTAATATACTCTATTACTAATTAACCTAAATTGATATAATATCTTAATATAACTATATAATGTAATTCACATAATAAATTAAACATTATCACTAAAATTAACAAAACATTATACAGACTACAGCAGTGTTTCTCAACTTCTAACGAATCGTCGCCCCTTTCAAAATAAATATTTATTTATCTAGAATACGTATTAGATTTTGATATAATTAACAAAATTGAACATTATTCGCTGTGAATCCCCGCTGCAAGCAACAAAATTTCGATGTCGAGGGCCCAAATTCGTATTGCATTGAATAGTATAATGTTATTTGTTTAATTATTGTACGATATAACGAATAAAATATATAATTATTCTTAAATGTTTTACTATATCGCAAAAAATTGTTTTTCGCCTCCAAAATCAAAATTGTTACTAATGGTCCCCTAATATGGAAAAACACCCACATGGGGGCAATATCGCCTCCGTTGAGAAACTCTGGACTACAGGAAGCTTTACGTGAGGAAAATAATTTACGCAATTTTACTTTATATAATTTCGATTTTATCTCATAATTTATTTTAAAAAGTTCTGATCATTTCAATTTCGAGGAAACAATTTCGAGAAACTTAAACAGGTTCTAGATGTAATATAAATAAATCTTTAAATCGAAGCTTGTCATTTGTTAACATTGAACCTTCGTATTAGGAACATAACAATACTCTTGTATTTAAAATATTTTGAGGTAAGAATTATTCGCTTTTGCATAGATTAGATTAACGTTGATTTAAAAATTCTTAATACATTCGGCGATATTTAACATAAATTCTCATTTATTACTCTTAAATAAGTCTGATGCGTTTTCTAATAAAGTTTTTTCATTAGTTCTCATTAAGATAGGTAAAAATTAATATTTAAAATTAATAAAAAAGTATTTGAAAGTTTACTTTTAACTAAAACTGTAATCTGTTCCGATTGTTTCTAATGTTATTTTCATTATTAAGTAATTTATACATTTTAAAAATTAAAACACAAAAAATAACTTATTTTAAAATACAATAAAATAATTAAATATAAAAAGATTACCTGTTATATGTAGACTACATTTTTTCTGAACTCTAATTGAATTTTAAATGTCTGACTCTACAAATACGTGTGTATGTATACGTGTGACGTCAGGTAGGGGAGATCGACTAAGTGTTGCTTTGCCTTAATGTAGTCTTGAGCAACCCGCGCCCGTCAGATCTTGGTATAAGGCACGGAGCTTGAACAACTCTAATTAAGATGCCATTCGTAACAAAAAAAAACATTTAAACTTATTATATCTTGACTATTAAAGGATAAAAATAAATATATACTGTTATATTAATTTTTATAATTTATATTTATTTTATAATTCTGCTAAAAGAATAAGTCATTCTTATAGTAATCATTTACGAAGTTGTACGTTCGTTTATTATTTATTCAATAATACTAGATAAAAAGTACGAAAAATTATCCTTTGTTAATCTGAGGCATTGTTTAAAATATATTTATATGTATAAATGAGAATTTTTCTTTGTTTGCTATACACTCCTAGGCCGTTCGACCGATTTGCTACGAAACGCAGAAGTTACGTTCACATAGTCCTAACTTAGTAAATGTCGGACATACAACCGCCAAATATCGATTAGATTTCCATAAATCAATTAATTTCTATCTACATTCGATTTGCTGGCTTTTCACGTAGCGCAATCAATTGGCAAAAAATTTAAGAAAATAAAAAAACTAACGAAATTATTACAAAAGTTGCTTCTAGCCCTTGATATAATTATATTAATTAAATTATCCACAACTGTGAGGCAGATAATAGTGAGTGCTTATCAAACCAATGATGGGCACGAACGCTCAGGGGTCAAAGTGAAAATAATTTAATAAACTCAAAAAATTACTACTTACTATTTACTTAATTTAAAAATTTAAATAATGTAAAAAAAAAACTAAATATAATTCTTACAAAAACAGGATATAATTTTTAAGATATATTATATATATTTAATTACTACGAAAATTATGTAGCACAAAATAGAAGCTCTAGAAATCCTACCACAAGTAGCACATAGCACTTGTCTGCGTGGAATGGAAAGTGAAAAGTCTACGAATATTTAATTCTTCACATCTAAGAATTCGGTTTATTTCAGTTCTGAATGGTACTTTCTTACCTGTAATAATCGTCCTCGAGTGGCCGAGTGAACAAAACCACCGAACACTGATAGTTAGTTAGTCGTGGCCAACGAACTAGCCACGTGGAGTTTTCCAGGTTTTTTTATGTTAGTATCATCTAAATAGAATCCAGCTTCCCGTAAATCTTCCTGGAATGCACCCCCGAGCAGATTGCTCACGTGTCGCGTTGCCGTAACCAAATAAACCAAATTCCTAACGAATGATTATTTATTGTGATATCTTCACAATGCAGGACTGCAATTTTAATCATATTCGACCTGAAATTTGAAAAAATTGTAGACTTTAAATTCCCACCGTCGTCTGCCTGTCTCCTATTTCTCAATTTTGAAAATGTAGTTCGATAGATGAAATCCGAGATCAGGTATGGAAACTTTAGAAGCGGAAGGCCCCGATTAACACATACGAACTTCTAATACAAATCAGAAGCCACGTCATTTCAATTCAAAACTTTTCCCCTGAAAGCAGTTAATAGATGACCGGCATGACTCTATTATTAAAAGAGAAGTATGGTCTACACAGGCAAGACACTAATATTTTGAGTTAGAGTCAAAATATTAGAATCGTGCCCCTGTACATCATACTTTTCCGGACAACAACAAAGTCGTGCCGATCATCTGTGTAACTTCGTTGTGGAGAAAACATTTGAATTAAAACACGTAATTTCCTGTCTAGACTGGAAGTTACGTGATTTCAATATACAGTTAACTGGGGGATCTTGCCTCTATGCTTTCTATATCTGATCCCGTCTTTCATCTATCTAACTCCATCTAGAGATTAATTTCGATCCCATTTCGCAACTGTTCCTTCTTTCTAGAGGACCAGCGGTATATTGATATGCGAATAGGAAAATTACATAATACAAGATTACCTGCAAGCATAAAATATGGTTTGTGTAGTTTTCGAGGATACCGAATTTAAATATTTTGCCCGTTTTTAGCGAAATTTGATTCGTTGGCAGAATACCAATTGATATTCGGTTGCGAATAGTACAGTTTCTTAGAGATAAGGTATATTTTATTCTAATGTTAATTTTTTTAAGATATCGTATTTTCAATTGGTGTCTACTTGACGGAAGAAATTGTGCCATTTCGTACCATCCGAATATCGCGATAAACGTACCATTGTCATAATAGTAGACTGAAGTAACCAAACTCTTTTTTACGGTTTTGTTTTAATATTTGTTATATTATAGTACTGTATTTGAATTATATAACTACAAAGGTTATAATAATTTTAAAATGTGTTAGATATGTCACTTGGTGTGATAAACCCTTACGTAAGATAATATTTGTAGTTATATAAATCAAATAATATAATAGAAGGGTTAGAAGTACGAAATAATCTAATAATTTTAAATTTTATTGTTATAATTTTTTGCCCGAGTTTATCTGCTACTTTTTTATATACAGTATGCTGTTTATTAATCGAATATTCAGTCAACAATACATTAGGGTATGTTGTATACTAACATAAAGGTATAATATACAATATATAATATGCAGGTTTGGAACTTCATAAATAGTAAATATTTATAAAGTTATTAAATATATAAATTTTGACATATTGATAAAAATTAGTATTAATATTTGATATTCTTTTTATAGAATGACAATGAAGAATACCAGAAGCAACTTTTCTCATTGTTTTTCTCGAATTGGATATCATATCGGTTGTTATCCTCAGTTCTACGTTTTTGCTTTCATGTTGACAACAGTTGTCCTGGCAACTGGATTCTTCAATTTACATATTGTGAAGAAAGGCGAATATCTGTATACTCCGATTAATGGAAGAGGAAAAGTGGAAAGAAATTCCGCCGAAACAATTTTTACTTTGAATACGTCTGCTAGTCTTGATTTTACCAGAATGGTTAGATTTGAGAATGTGGTATTCGTTATAGCATTATCTAAAAATAACGATTCCTTTTTGAATGATAATGCTGTATTAGATTTGCTGAAACTGGATAAAATTGTTCGAAATGTTAGCGTATTTTGGAATAATAGTTTCTTACGCTATGAAGATCTCTGTGTTCGGAACAAACAAAATCGATGTCCGAGCAATTACCTTTCCTTTTTAATGAGAAGAATGAAAGATTTTAAACAGGGAAGAAATTTTATGAGGTATTGTTTTTTTTGATTGTATATTGTACAAGAAAAATTTGGGTATTCTTTAGTATTATATACACTATATTACGATACACACATTTCAAATCAATCAAAAGAATATTAAAAATAGTAGTATTTATAAGTTTAGTAAGTAAATAATTTTAATAGGTCTATATTTAAAAAATAAAAATAAGTACTTTATTGGTCATGATTTTTGAGAATTGGATGAGGATTGATGGAATAGAGCCACTTTACCATATACATCATTATTGTGCATTATACACGTGGAATCGAAACGAAAGTTATCAAATTAAATAATTAAATGTAGAGTTTAATAAATCGATCTAGAAAACGGCCCTAATCTGGATATTAATCCCAACCATCTCCTTCACCTTTTGATGGAGAAAACAATGAAATACTGTTTCCTTATGTAGAAAAATTATTCTCCCTTAAAATATTTATTGAATTAACATGAGAAAATACATCTATCTGCTACATGTTGTTTTCATTAACGGAAGACACGTCTATCGCTTTTGTGCCGAAAGGGGAAATCAAACTTCTTTTCGCAAGAGTTTATCTCTAATCTTCACGAACATCTGGATATCTAATTCCTCTGTACATCCCGTCAGCGGACGTAAATCCAGAATTTCTATTGGACGAGACTGACGATAAAAGAGGCAATTTCCCGCTATTCGAGGCAGTTCAGCGCGAAACGAACATGCCATATTAGCAGGAGTTCTTGAAAATTTTCTTGTGTTCACGAGAGTTCAGCTCCTTCACTCAGTCTCCTTCTCCTCGATTCCCGTCCAGCGAACTTTGCTATTAGAAGACATCCGTAAAGATCTTCAGTCGAGGTAATATGTCTCAGTTGTAAAATCTCTCTCTCACACGATCAGATAGAGGTTTAGAATCTTTCTGTGTATCTACATTTTTAATTTATTTTGTTCTCATTAAATTTTGTTTTATTCCGTTAAATGGTTATTGAACCAAAGTCTTATACGATCCCTCTCTCTCATAAAACTATATAAATTTATTTATTTGCGTGCTTAAAGATCTAATTAGACTGGTGTCAGGAAAAATCGACAGGAAGATCCTACGAACTTCCGGTACCCAAATCAAATACTATTAAAATCCCATCCTCGGGACCCTGCGGGCAGATCTTTCCGATTCAAACAAGAGTAAGAAACAAGCTTTCTTAACTTTGAATTCCCATACACACATGTAGGATTAAATTCTACATTTGGTTATATTTATTGAGTTTCGAGGTGAAAACGATGGGATGGGCACTCCCTAAAACGTCATTAAAGTCTATTGTCATTGGAGTTAAAAGTCGGAAATTTTGTAAACGTACCTATCTTCATCAGGAATGGATAAATTTCAAGGTTTGAGAACGTGATAAAAACCAACTTAAATAAAAGCAACGATTTGGGTCTCACGTAATATCACAGTTACTTTCCAGACAATAAAAGTACCACGTATAATCTTTATAAACAGAGAAAAGTAATAATAGATTGTGACAAATTTCACAATCTATTATTATATCGTTCATAAACTGGCAAGTTATGATCCTTATCCTTATTAATCCTTAACCTCCTCTAAAAATATTTGTCAAACTTTCTAATTGCATCCATTTTCACTGCTAATATTATCCTTTATCGATTCTTTGTTGCACTTTCATCCTTATTAGCCACAAATTCCCTCTTTCGATTACTCCTCCCTCTTCCCATGTGGGAATTTCCAAAAATCCCTTCTCAGTGTATATTTTCATGGCATACTCTAACTGTGTACCAAATTTCAACTTTCAACTCCTAACAATTTAGGCTCTGAACTTATTACTATTATTATTATTATAATTATTATTATCATCAACCCATCTCGATTATATTATAAGATAAACAAATTTACAGTAAGATTATTTAATTTAAATGAATACTATATACAAACACATTTTTTAATTAATATTTAAGTAAAACTAAAGCTTATACTGGGTGAATTAAATTAAATATACTGGAAAATTAAAGTACTCTTATTAAACACTGTCTGGAAGGATATGTAGTCCAAATCCTACCAAAATTTGTATGTTGACATTTCTGGACATGCAGAAGAGATTTCCACAAAAAAAAATTTAGTTTCAAATTCACCATTGTCCACAGTGATGAGGAGTTTGATTGTGGTGCTGCAAAGGGGGGAAAAAATACAAAACGTATGCTTAATACACAAGTCTCTAGACAATTCTGGATACAGAACTGCCTACAGCATGTGATATATCATTTGTATTACTGCAGATCGACAGGAATGGTCATGACTGTGCCTCAGTATGCCTTTTTTTGTAAAGATGTTTAATGGAAACAATGCCAATGTTGCAAGTGTGTTTGTTTTGAAAGTTACGATGCCATAAGAAATTGTGGAAAAGATTATATCAGAACTTTAGAATGCCTGGAAATTTTCAAAGTATCTATTAAAGGAGAGTGCATTAATTTTGAACTGCCAAATTATATCTGCAGCATTGAGAGCCGTCATTTATAAACCATGGAGAAGTTACAACCAACTGGGACAGTACAGTAATTTTGGTTACTTTATATCATCTATATTATAAATGGTGTATATTAAAATTGTTAAAAATTAATTAAAATTTTAAAAAATATAATGTGTATATATGACAACTCATGATGTAAATTTTAAAAAATATTCTTGTAAATGTTAAATTTGTATAATTTATGATTTGAAACATCTTTGTATGCTATAAAATGAATGTCAATTTACGTAGACCACATATGCAAGACTTGAAACAGGCAGACTAAGGTGAAAACATTTGTATAATGAATTAAAGCATTGTTGAAAATATTTTATAGTTTCTTCTTGCTGTATATTGATCTCTGTTTCAATTTCTTAAAAATTTTTAAGTTGCAAAGTGTTTTTTTTTTTACTGCTTTGCTTCAAAACACATCTCATAGCAATAAGTTTTGAAGCTAATTTTTTCTTCTCGTGGAAATCTCTTTTTCATGTCCAGAAACATTAACATACAAAATTTAAGTTTGGTCTGCTACACTTCTCCAGAAAGTAGTGAATAGGGATACTTTACAATTACTATGTATATTTATAAAGTTTGATTTGGAATTATTTAATCTTAATGTAATATGATTAACACTCCTTCTTATATGCAGAAATTATTTTAAACAGATAACTGTTGCAAATAAAAATACAGTAAAATCTTGTTAAGTCAAACTGTATTAATTCTTTAAACTCTGAATATTTCTTTATATATACCAAGATATGAAATTGTTTATACTAGTAAGGCTAGACTTTAAAGATAAGGAATTTGTAAAGCAAAACAGTCAAAACAACTTTGCCTTTGGCTGATTTCATCTCAAACAAATTAAGGCAACTTTGGTCAATCTCACGTTTACAGGTGATAGATACAGTGTATTGGGTTTTTCATATAATAGTCTCATTAAGTCAAAGCTATCAGTACTTTTAACTCTAACCCATTTTTCCTGTGTATTCCACCCATTAATTAATTAATAGGTTTGTGGTAATTTTCTCTTACATTCTATGTGAATGTAGGCAGTTAAGATAAACAAACCATTCCAAACAACAACATACTATTACAATCTCATGTCAATATCTTTTTGAAACAATATGTTACCAGTGTTCTGATTGGGACATAAGGGTGCAACTGAACAATGCACTCAAAAGTGCTAAAACAATAAACTATATACAATTTGTAATCATTCTGTGAATAGATTCATGATAAACAGTTTAACAAAAGGAAATTTAGATCACAGAAAAATTTGAGAAAATCAGGTATTAAACTCACTAACTCAAAACATTTTAACTGAAAGTTGGAACTTTTTACTCCCTAAACTTTGATTTAATGAGTTTCAGTAGTATAAAAAATAAATTTTATAAATCCCATCATTAGTTACTGGTTGAAATTATTTATCTACATAATGAATAAGAGCCTGATTTATATGCCTATTAAATTAAATTATATTTGCTGGTATATTTTGAAGGTTTTGTTGGTGTTACTTACTATTATATAAGCAGATTTCAGAAATTTTAGGGTAATGATTGTTCGGTTGAGTACTGAGGTACCCCTGTATTTCATTAATGCAATTTTGATATACAGTAATACCCCGAACTTACGCGATAGGTGCGACCGAGCGACAACCACGTAAGTCAAATTCGCGTAAGTCAGGGTATAATTTCGCAATTTGTGTAAAATCCAAGTCGGATGTATGTAAGCTAATAAATGTTCTCGTTAATCTTATCTCGTCTTTTGATTCGTTCACGGTTACAAGAAATCACCACATAGAGTCTCTCAAGTCTCCGTAGAAATAACAAACACAGAAATAAATAACACGAAATAAATTGTAGTTATGTGTCAATTCCGCGCGACACATCTGAACATGTAAGCTGAACAATAGTGTGGGGGGAGTGAGTAATCAAGAGTTACGTGGCATTCAAACAAAAGACAAATCGACGAGATTTGAAAATCGCGTAACTCAGGGTTCGCATAAGTCGGGGTAGCATAAGTCGAGGTATCACTGTACACAGTACAATCAAGAGATACCTCTGTATATATATATATGTTCTTTTTTATAGCTTATGCCAGCCTTTTTTTAATAGTCTGTGGGTGCTGCTGGTACAGGGTTATAAACAAAAATATAAACTACTTTAGACAAGTGACAAAATAAAGGATGAAAGAAACTAAGTTAACTGAGTCATCCTCAAACATCTAAATAATTGTATATAGAAATAAATTCAATAACAATTGATTAAATAGCATAGGAAGTTATAACATTTTACTAAGCATGTAATTTGATTCATAATTAACTTGACTATGTATGTCCTAAATGAAATATTATTGTATATCAAACAGACATTGTTACTGAGATGTTTTTGTTTATTACAATGAACAAATGTTTTCAATCCACTCAAGGGGTCATCTTCAGGTTATTGATGTTAATTTAACATTTACAACAGTTCTTTTGCTACTATTCTTATCGAATCACTATGCAAATTAAATTCAAAAATATACAAAATAGAAACCGTCCAATTAGAATTAAACAAGATAAACACAGTGAAATAAATTACAATAAAATACATACATAAAATAAATACAAATATAAATATAATAACATATGATTCTACATCGACCATATTGTGAAAATCGGGGTTTAAGCATCTAAGCCTAAACCATTTTCGGGGAGGTGAGTCCTGCTCACAGGGTCAGTGGATGTCAATTTAGGAGGGCGAAAATCGAGTGGGAGGTCGCAGATAAGTCGATAAGGAATTGACCGAGTACGAGTAAACACACATGTTTAAGAATATATATATATATATATATTTAATTAACAAATGCAATATAAAAAGGTTACAAATAATAATAAGAACAATAATAATAATATCAAACCAAAATTCCAATAGGTGGTTATCTGGATTACATCTCGCTTATTTCTGACAGAGGATATTCTCTGATCCTTAATACTATCTAATTTCGGAATTAGCCCTAGTCCACCTGAGAGAAAAAAGAGAGTTCTACTTACTAAGTGGTAGACAGTAAAAGTTAGCTTTGTCGTCCATCATTGGCGGTCAGCGTTGAAGGCAGTTAATCCGTTGCTTCTTGCTATCTTGAAGGCCACCCCGATAACTGGCTGGGAGCCCTCTTTATACCAAATTTGAGAGGGTGAGAACTATGACATTACTAATGATTTATCCACACACCTGTTAGTATGTTGATGTTTGGATCTAGCTAGTACGAACAACTGACACAGAGAAGTTTGTTTAATTTATTGATATTGGTGTCAAGAAGATATGATTTTATGATATAAATTCCTATAGGTTTGATGACTCTCATCCATAAATTAACATTCAGCTGACAATAATTTCTTTAACCTGGTCAACTATCTAGATATTGTTTATATCAAACATTGCATTTGACTAGGAATGAGGCAATTTATTGCAATAACTACGTATTACGTGCAACCAAAGAGGTGATAAGAAACATCTCTTATTCCCTTCTTGTTGATATTAACATCTATAGAATTACCTTTAAACAAATGGAGGAGATTTCGTTTATTGATATTTTAACTTTCCCTTTTTTTTTCTTATTCGAGGAGAGCGTCTAGGTCATTGACCGCAGAGAGGCTCTGTTTTAAAACAGAAAAAAGGGTTTCAGACCTTCACAACATGCTCTGCATTAAATTATGAGTTCTTTTTAACTATATACTTCCAAGCTGAAGGCAAGAATGTGACATCCTTATAGTTCAAACATTTTCCAGCCAGGCTAGACTTATATATTTCGCACTTTTCTAACATTAACGTAAGAGTTGGTGAATGTATTGGTGCCATGATTCTGGCTTCTGCCCATTCAACCATTGACCCATCCATTTGTGCCACCTTTAATAATGCTTATTATTAAAGTAATTATTATTATTATGTATTAAATGTATTTAATAATGCTGTTGAATAGTGTCTTTTATTTATGTCATACTTATGCTCCTTGATTCTTTTGTTTAGGTTCCTGGTTGTGACACCCACATACTCCTTGTTGATACCTAGTTGGTCATTCTTGTACGGTATCATGTATACGCCTAGATATCAACAAGGAGTATGTGGGTGTCACAACCAGGAACCTAAACAAAAGAATCAAGGAGCATAAGTATGACATAAAAAAAAGACNTCCTTGTTGATACGTAGTTGGTCATTCTTGTACGGTATCATGTATACGCCTAGATATCAACAAGGAGTATGTGGGTGTCACAACCAGGAACCTAAACAAAAGAATCAAGGAGCATAAGTATGACAAGTATGATATAAATAAAAGACACTATTCAACAGCGTTATTAAAGGTGGCACAAATGGATGGGTCAATGGTTGAATGGGCAGAAGCCAGAATCGTGGCACCAATACATTCACCAACTCTTATGTTAATGTTAGAAAAGTGCAAAATATATAAGTCTAGCCTGGCTGGAAAATTAAAAATGTGACACTTCCCTATTGCAGCGTTATTGACAGCGATTTGTTAAATTTCAGACATGCTCCCACGTCTGAAATTTAACAAATCGCTGTCAATAACGCCGCAACACGGAAGTGTCACATTTTTAATTTCTAAATGCTGGCGTGAAGTGAACTACAATTTCATGGCTGGAAAATGTTTGAACTATAAGGATGTCACAATCTTGCCTTCAGCTTGGAAGTATATAGTTAAAACAAACTCATAATTTAATGCGGAGCATGCGGTCGATGTAGAATCATATGTTNTTATTTTATGGTCTGTATATATTTAAAATTTAATTAAAAGTAAAATCGTGTGTGAGAGTGAATAAGCTTTTTGTTGATTTAATGTTTGTTGTTGATGAACTCGTTTGGGTAAGTTGAAAAATTGTATTTATAAGTTGTACTGGAAAGTTTTATTTAATATTAATTTAAACAGTATTTTGCTAAAATTTAAAAAATTGAAAAGATTGGTACCCCTAGGTGATCACATAGATTTGCCTAATGGTAAATCTATGTAATCAACCAGTACTTTCTCACCTAAAAAGTGTGATGTAATATTAATAGATATCAGTAAGTATTGCTTGCAGACAGTAGTAAAGTATGTATGCACTTCAAACTACAAATTTTATTGTAGGCTAGGACTGATACAGGAGTGGGCAAGGGAGGCAGATTGCTAGGGCCAGCAAAATTGGCCAAATAAAATAAAAACTAGAAATTCTCCTGTCAAGCATGTTAGAACACTTTTTATGAGAAAGTAGAGATTGAAGAATTGAGAAGAGTAGAGATTTCAAGAAATTCAAAAAGAGTTGCTAATATTTCTACAAATTAAGCAGTTTATACTACCTGTTGTAACTAAGAACAGAACAAAATTTCACCTGGAGCAGACAAAAATAGTAGGCGTTGTNAAGATCGGTATCCCTAGGTGATCACATAGATTTGCCTAATGGTAAATCTATGTGATCACCTAGGGATACCGATATTTGGCAAGGGAGGCAGATTGCTAGGGCCAGCAAAATTGACCAAATAAAATAAAAACTAGAAATTCTCCTGTCAAGCATGATAGATCACTTTTTATGAGAAAGTAGAGATTGAAGAATTGAGAAGACTAGAGATTTCAAGAAATTCAAAAAGAGTTGCTAATATTTCTACAAATTACCGTATTTTGACGAGTATAAGTCGCACTTTTTTTACTACTTTTTGGGGCTCAAAATCATGGTGCGTCTTATACTCGACAGGTAACCATTTTTACAGTGAAATTATCTATAGTAGTGGTCCACTCTAGGGACCAACCTGTGCAGTGGTCCGTTANGGACAAGGTCCGAAATTGCGTAAATCACGAAATTCTTATATTTAAATTATAACAATACATTATATAAGAGAGGGAAAAAACCCCTATATCTAAACAACAAGGCACAAAATGTAAACGAGTCCCCAGGATGACTCCAACACATGTTAAATGATCTGTCAATGTCAAACCAAAAGGTAGAACTCTGACTCAAGTGCTCAAATAGTCAATCTAGGAAAACAATTTCAAAAACGGGGGAAGATTTAATGAATAGAAAAACATCGTGTATGATCGTTAAAGTTCCAAGATGACAAAAATCATAAATAACATGCTAAATTATGAGTGCAAGTCTTGTGGTTTTGTCAACAATCTCCGAGCACGATCAACAAAAAGGTGTCTAATAGACTCCTTGAATCAGACCTTTCCCATGACCTGAGTTAGTCTCAGTTTTTGTCTGGAAAAAAAAAAGGCCAATCGGGAAGTGAGAAATGGGACAAGAGGCCAATCAGAAATATAAATAGTGGGGGGAAAAAACTATAAAAAAAATTTGAAATTTTAGGTCAAAGGACAGTCTCCTCTGGATTAAGCCAAAAGTAGTGACTATTAAGTTGTGTTGCACTATCACCTAGGACGCCACAGCATCATCTCATCAATCATGCACTTCGCCCAGCAATCCCATCTCATCCACCGTGAAGCTATGACCAAGTTCTCTCCACTCCAAAGGACTATAAAGAAGAGAATCTGTCGATTATTGATGTAAGCATAAGTGTTACCAAATAAACGGCTTTTTCTTTTGTAAAACACTTGTCATCATTTTCCTCCCCTGCCACAGCCCACCTGCAACCTTCCCTTAGGTTCATCCTGAAGTGGGATTAACTGATCCCGCCTAAAAGACAGCAACCTTACATTGGTGCTGAGGAGTGGGTTTTCAAGTCCCCTATCTCCACTGGGTCAGCAACCTTACATTTGTTCGTAAACTTAGAAGATTTTAGATTGTATTAACAAAAGGAAAATAGACTATTAATTGCAAAAACAACATAATTTTTACATGATGGGTTTCTCCAAATGAATGTATAACTACATTATATACAAAATAAAACTTTTTATTAATAAAACAAAATAATTAAAAAGTCCATAAAAATATTTGCCATTTTAAGTATCTTTATTCCTTTTTATTATATTTATCTATGTATATTTTACTTGGAAATAAGCTTACATTTAATAGTCAAAAATGAAAATAACATACATCTGAAAACGTAGCTTATAGAACACTTACATTTGACAATTTAAATTAAGAATGCAAATTAGAAATTAAAAAGAGGAATTATTATATGAAACTGTTCAACTTGATATAATAATAACAAGCTTATTTATATACAGTAAAGTGAGAAAGAAAGAAATAACAACAATTATACAGGAAAGGATACTTACAACAAATTATAAGTTCTTCATGCACACCAGGATGTGTAAAATAAATAAAACCTACTTACTCAAGCCTCTAACCGGTGTGAAGAAATACAATAAAATAAACAACTTTAAAGAAACAAACATTTTCCAAACACCTTCCATGTTGTTCCTCAGATAAAACGGCTGGATTCCTTATTCTAAAACACTGTTACACAATTTTAAAAAGGACAAAATTCGAACAATGAATCGATTGTGTGATGTCCACTGCGCATGCGTTGTATCTGTTGTGTCCCCATCATTCAGAATCGCATTTACTCTTCTGATACGAGCATTTAAAAATTCTAATTGATTAACAGTGACATACACATTATCTCTGATGAGAATCCAATAGATATAGATATAGAAATATGCCATTTTACATAGTAAAAGTCCTTTACCTAAGTTTATGCATAAAAAGCAAAATCAGCTTTTTTAGTTGTGCCACATTAAAGCAAAGCAGCAATATATCTGGCATTTTTACATGCATATATTGCAATTTTAAATGCATAAAACCAGTCTTTAATAATGATCAATATTAACTAAAACTTTTCTATCTGTTTTTGACACAATAAATTCCAATAAGAAACATAAATTATTCATTTTACTTACTTCTTTTTCTTTCTGGTAATAAATTCAATTCAGTGTCAAAAGCAATTCCTTCTGCATCTTTTTCTGACTGTGATAATTCTGGTCTGATAAAAAAAAATTATGAACTTAATTTTTAGTTTTAATAAGTTTTTACCAAATTATCTTTTTGTAATACTGTAGGTTTNGCATTTACTCTTCTGATACGTATATGATGCACTATTTTTACTATGACCGTTACTGCATTTACTCTTCTGATACGTATATGATGCACTATTTTTACTATGACCGTTACATGTCCTCATGCATCCTCCTACACCAACTAAATCCCTAGTAATCATTATGTAATAAGGCTTGCCAAGCTATCGAAAGAGCCATTTCTTCCTGGGAGTTAATGCATGTAGATGTAGTGTGCGCCTTATATATTTCCATCACTTCTAGCCATTTGAGGTGGTCCATGCGTGTTGTTTTGACTATTAACGATGCCCCTGCGAAGTCTACAGTGATATTCAGTTCTGACACATAAATCACGAGTGACGTGGTGGCTCTGTTATACTGTATATCTGCTTTGTGTTCCTTAATTCTGATCCTCATCGAGCATTTCATTGATCCTATGTAGATCAAATCCCTACTGAATCTCTCATCTCTCACAGGGATTCGGTATATGCCTGGCAATTACTCAGGTCAGATGGGTCCTTTCCATTATGTAACATGTCAAATACAGTTGGGGTTCTCCTGTATGCAATGTTGATCTTACATTTTTTGGCAATAGATGTGTAAATGGATCTGAAGGCAGGGTTGTATGTAATCGATATTCTTTCTACATCTATATCTTGGTTGACTCCATGTCATTGCCTCCATGTTGCATCTGTGTGTTGTGGTTCATTAGTGTTCTTTTGTGGCGGCTACCACAATCTTATTCTGAAAATCTTGGACCGCCACAAAAGAACCCTAATGAACCACAATCGATCAGAATCACATTTACTCTTCTCACATACATATGAGAAGAGTAATGATGGGGACACGACAGATACAATGCATGCACAGTGGACATCGCACAATCGAATCATCATTCAAATTTTGTTCTTTTTAAAATTGTGTAACGGTGTTTTAGAATAAGGAATCCAGCTGTTTTACCTGAGGAAGGACATGGAAGGTGTTTGGAAAATGTTTTTCCAATTGGCCCAGGGGCAAAATCTGTTGGCAACCCCTGGGTTAGAGGCTTGAGTAAGTAGGTTTTATTTATTTATTTTACAAATTACTTTCACTATTATACACTAGTGTTTTGCAATAGATATAGAATATAATTAAGAAATAAGACACTAATTCTTAAATACACAATAATAATAATTTAGAAATAATTCTTTTTACAAAGAATATTATTAATATAAATAAATATTGCTATAACAGCATCAATAAATAACAAGATTCAATATTATTATATTGAATGGTATTATGTATATAAATAGTAATTTTTTAATACTGAAAATTCATATATCTTAATTGTGTAATTGCACATTATAATTATAGAATATATACAGGCTAATTATTTTTATATGTTTAATTATCTTAAGAAAACATGTCTTAAATAAATATCTGTACAAAGACATCACAATGTTAATATATTTTTAGTTTATTTTTAATTATAACGTATTTAAAATTAAAAATATACATAATAATTTATTAAATAATAGTTTTATAGTTCAAAGAACAGATATATTCAAAAATATACATTAATTGAAATTTTTAAAAAAATTCATGTTTTGAAATGATAACAGTAAAGATTTCATATGAGCATTTTTAATAATAATAATATTTTTAATTTTAGTGTTATTTCACTTACTTTATAGCAAATTCTTCTTTACCACACTTTGCGCAATGACCAGTTGAAATAACACATGACTTGCACAATATATGATAAGCTTGTGTTACAGTTTTCTGGTTGCATATTGTACTATAAAAATATAATTATAACAATTAGAATGTTCAAGATGCACACTTATTACATGCAATATTAACATGATTTATTACAAATTTTAAGTATATAGACTAGACAAAATTAAACTATTTTCTTGCTATTATTATTATTATTATGATTATTTTAAACCTGGATTGATTCATTATTAATAATAATAAATTTTTTAACTTGTTATAATGTTTTAATTTTAGATTCAATAAATTTATAATCAAGTTTTAGCATTCACTTATGTCTGTATTTAAAACCAAGAATCAAATGTTACAGTTAGAACTTTACTAATCACCATTTGTTATATTTCTGGTATGTTGGTATTGAACACTTATTAACTCTAAGTTTTGAGTCTTGGCTGTGAATATGGACATTTTTGATTAAAAAAAAAAACATATTAATTAACAAATTTAAATCATTGGAAATCAATAAATTTAATAAATTAACATATTTAATATCATTGAAAATCAATTGCACAGTTAATCTGTACATATTTCTATAAACATGTTAAGATAAATCAACATTATAATTAATTCTACTTTATCAATATCAAATAACAACACAAGTTTTAATTTCTATTAAAAATCTATTGTTTTCATTATTTATTAAAGGTCATCAAGGTTATAAAACTTAAGAAAGTTACAAATGTCATTACATCTTAATTCTTTCAGGATTTTCATGCAAAATGTTAGATCTATCAAAAACAAGTACCTCTGGTTCCAACTATTCTGAGTGAGTTTTACAACTTATACATACTCACCAAAAGCTGAATTACCCCACAGACACACGATTTAGATCTTTTGCTTTGCCATGAAAACCAATGAGATGGCATTATCTTAATGATTTTCCATCCTTTGACCCAAATAATAAAAATATTTGAATACCTTGATTCCATCTTGATAGTTAAAATCCCTAAATTTAATCTTATTATAATTTCCATTTATACCCCTCACCCTAAAAGAGAATGCATATTTCAAATAATACACCACTTCCTGAAAACAATGAATTATGCTTCAGTTTAAATTAATTCTATGTGGAGATTTTAATGTCTACGTAATATTTCTCGGTCATCCATCGTGTCCAATTTCTTATCATTAGATCCCTGTGAAAACTGTATTATTAGTAAAATTTATTATTTTTTTGATTCTACTGGAAGTATTTATTACCCAACATGTCATGATCCTTTTTTAGCCTTTTTCATAAATTGTAAACGCAACGCTTACCCAATGGAAGGGTTTATATATGATCACTGTGCAAGTTATCTTGACGTTTTAGATTGTATTAAAATTAAATACTCACACCAATTTATGAGAATTCCTGTATGGCATCATTTTAATTTTAAACAGGTCATTAAACACATTTGTTCCATTAATTACATTTTCATGGAATCTCCTATATTACCTCCTCAAACCATTGTAGATTTAATGTTTCTTTATTCTACTATCATTGTGTTTTTACAATATCAAAAAGTTGATATTCCTCATATAAATGGTTCTCTCACTATTTAAAAAAATTAAGAAATATTATTAGAAAGTGATGGACCACATGGAAATGCAGTGGAAATCCACATAACCTCTATATTCATCATATCTTACAAAAATAATACTACAAACAATGCAACACATCATTTCAAAACTTTAATAATATTGTAAACACATTTGCTTCCAACCCCCGTATGTTTTGGGGTTCATCCCTAAATTTTCTAAAAGAACTCAAAATAAATCAACTTCCTTTTCTAATGACATGATACTCAATGTCTATTAAAGCAAAATTTTTCCGAATTATACCTGAGTCAGATTATTTTCCGCTTATGCCATACAACTAATTCGAATTGCAAGTACTGCATTCACAAACATGAAACAAATGCTGACTTCAAGGGAAATTAGTATAAAAACAAGAATTAGGTTGGCAAAATGTTATGTTTGGTCAACCCTGCTTTATGGAGCAGAGTGTTGGACAATGAATGCAAGTAATGAAAAGAAATTAAAGGCATTTGAAATGTGGATGATTCGGAGAATGCTGAGAGTTTCTTGGAAGGCAAGAAGAACAAATGAAGATATCCTGGCAATTGCAAACCAGAAAAGGACCTTATTAGAAGTAGTAAGGAAAAGAATTGTGAGGTATCTGGGGCATGTTATGCGACACAACAGCCTACAAAAACTATTACTAGAGGGAACGATTGAAGGGCAAAGAGGTAGGGGTAGGCCAAGAAAGAACTGGTTCAGCAACATCAGGAATTGGACATACTTAACGTATGAAGAGTGCTCAAGAGAAGCACAAGATAGATCATGGTGGCATGAAATGGTTGTCAACCTCCTGACAGGAGAAGACACATAAAGAAGAAGATGCCATACAACTATACCTATCAATACAGTTTTTCTTTTTCAGAAGCAAAGGTTGCCATAGATAAGTTGAAGCTCTCCAATTTCAGTCCTGACTCTAGTCTCTCAATTTTCTATATAAAACTAAAACCAATTACTGACACAATTTTATAAAGAAATTTTTCTAAATTACTCCAATATAGTTTTATTTTTAAACAATGGTATTCCTCTACCATTATAGCAATACTAAAAAAAGACAAAAAAATCTTTCCGACCCATTTCTTTATCTGTTGCAATGCTTAAGATTTTCAAAATATGTCTCTTCAATAAAATTTATGTTCCAATAACTTCTAAACTCTCACCTATTCAACACTGTAGACTGCACAATCAAGCAACTACTATGAACTTACTTGATACAACATTTATAATCCAGAATAATTTTGAAAAAAAAAAATAAAAAAAAAACATTCAACTTACTTACATCGACATAAGTCAAGCCTTCGATTCCATATTTCCAAATATACTTTTAGATACACCATGTGACTATTTCAATATTAACCCAGCTCTTCACTTCTAGCTGAATAACTATTTTTTAGCTTGTCTATACAAGATCAAATTAGAAGATTTTAATTTTCTTGATTTTTTGCTTTTAACTGGTATTCAACAAGGATCAATTCTAAGTGGCCTTTTCTTTTTTATATATATTAAAAAATTGTTTATTAATTTAAATTCTTTTGTTATCACCTAAGCAGACAATATAAAGTTGTTAAATCATGATCCCACTGCTCTCCAATTTGATTTTCACCACTTATCCTCTGTCTTTAGTAAAGTTAATCTTAGAATTAATGTATGAAAATCTGTAATAATGTTTTTCTTTACTCAAGAATACATTCCTATCACCCCTTTTTATAAACACTCGTGCATTGCAATATGTCAACACACAAAACAATCTCGGAATTATTTTTGACACTAAATTAATTTTTAAAAGCCATATACAGTCCATATTTTTTGCCAATTTTCAATCCAATGTGGACTACTGCATTCCCATTTAATCCATGGGTGCCCCCTCTTTACTTGCTAAAATTTTGAGGGAATTCAATAAACTTTACTTACTTTTATTTTAGTAATCTACCACAAACCAATAACCCAAATGTCACTAGAGTAAGACTAGGACTTCCAGATTTCTTCGAAATAAGTAAATATTTCAATTAAATTCTCTTTTTTAAATATTTTAATGGTCTAATTCCACAACTTTTGCTAAATCTAAGAATCCCCAGAAGAAACACCCATAACACTATATGTATATATACTCCTCATTTTTGTTTGTCATTGTCACATAGATCTTATTTTTATCAAATAACTGATAACATAGGCCTGATGGAATGTCTACTCCATGAAAAATTTGCTCATTATAAGCAGATAAGCCCATTGTCTTTTTATACTTTTTAAACTTCTTTTGGGCATGTTATGTACTGGGGGTGGAAATCAACTGCCTGATGGCATTTCAAAAATTCATTGTAAAATAAATAAATACATAAATAAATAAAATAGATAAACATTCATAAAAATTACAAAAAAATATATATACAGGTATACCTCGCCTTACGTCGGTAATTGGTTCCAGGAGAACGACTTAAGTCGAAAAACAACATAAGTCGAATTTACTTGACTCCAAATCTACTTGTCACTAGGCTAAACTGTAAATTGCCAATTCCGGTTCTGTATTTTATTTATTAATGCATTTTTAATAATATATGGTTAATAAGGATCTATTTTAAGCTTACAAACAAATAAATTTTAGTTTTTAATATAGTACAGAAAAAAGTAATCTAAATTTACGAATGCATGTACTGTACATACATTACATACTTGTAAATGTATATATTTTAATATAATTTTATGTGCTTTAAACATTTTTCTAGTGATATTACAACTTCAATATTTGTGGCGGATAGACGTAAAGTCGAATAAAATGACTTAAACTTGATTTTTATTTTTCCATATACTTTTTTGACAAATGACGTATAATCGGGAACGACGTAACTCAAAACGACATAAGTCGAGGTATACCTGTATTTCAACATTTAAATAAACTAAATATAATTGTATTTATTAATTTAATTGCTTTTTCTGTATTTCTAAGTCTGATATCCATGCAACAAAAGGTGAAATGTTCTCTCTCTGCAAAATTATGTCATTCTCATTTCTTCATAAAAATGAGCAATTAACAATCTCTTTGTTGAGAGGAAACACAGAAATTCTGCTTTCATTTGATCTTAAAAAAGTATCAAAATCCTTGCTCCAATTATTTAGCCCTTAAAAATCTGCTTCTAATAACTGATCATAGTCAGTTTATTTATAACTATCAGTCTCTAACATTTAGTTACTATCAATCTGTCCTTGATCATACTTGTGAGAAATGATATAAATAATGTAATGTTCTCTCATTTCATAATTCTAACAAAAGTTTTGTGTCTAATGACAAATTATTATTTGGCATTACTAGCTTATTACATCTTTATAAATAATTATTTGATAATTTATACAGAAGAGTTTCAGTTTCCATCTTTTACTGCTTGTCCTGCCTAAACCATATCCTTGTAGGAAATAATTGTTCTTGGAGTAATGTAAATAAAATTCTAAGTAGTGTTAGAACCTGATACTGAGATTTTATCTGCCTAAGCCACCAAATTAAAAACAATCTGAATAAACTGTAGCTATATTGGATTATTCAACAAATATATGTATTAAATCCAAGAGTTTATTTTTCAATAGCAAACAAAAATAGAATTGAGATACTATACTTATCTATAATATTTCGTAAAAAGTTAAACAAGATGCTAATTATTCAATTCTCAGATAATATTAAAAAAGAATAGTATGATGGGGGAAAAAGATCAAAAATATTTAAATGTGCAAAACAAAAAATTAAATTCTCAAGAGAAACCATCATAAAAGTATTTCAATACTGAAAATCAATGATCTAATGAGTTTATAATTTTTTGTTTTCATCCAACAGAATATTAAAACAATCAATATAACAAAATTTAAACATAAAACCTAAAAAAGCATATAAAATTTAAAACCAACTTCACCTATCTTATATGTTAAAAATCTGATTTTTAATAAACTGTGCAAAATAGTATTGCATTTTTTTATAAAATTATAATTTAAATATATACTTAATACAGTACTGTGCAAGATTTCAATCTGTACCACAAGAAAAAATTGAAGTTATACAGTATGTGTATGCAAAATTTCCTTATTTAACTCACCAGATCTTAAAAGCAAAGACTTCATGGCAGCATAAAATTAAAAAAAATGTTATAACATTACTTGACTTCAGATTGATAAAAACATGAACTAATGAATCATTTGTAAAAAATGAACAGTGAGAATGATGCAAATTCCAAAATGATGCAATTTCTGAAACTATAATTATCTTCTTTAGGTGTCTTCTCCTGTCAGGAGGTTGATAACCATTTCACGCGCACCATGATCTATCTTGTGCATCTCTTGAGCACAAGATAGATCATGGTGGAACTCTTCATATGTTAAGTATTGTTAGGAAATACTAAACTAAAGCAAGTGTTGATGTAGCAAACTGTATATGACTGGTAACACCCTGTGCAAGACCACTCAAAACAAGAAGGGACCTGTTGTTCAGTTGCACACCAAGTTATGAATGTTGGAACAAGTTCATGTATAGTCTTAGATTAGAATAAAGTTTAATTCTAAGTTAAAGGACTCATCATTGTTCTAACAATTCCTGATGTTGAACCAGTTCATTTTTGGCCTATCCCTGTCTCTTTATTGCCAATAAATAGTAAGCCTCATAGTAAGCCATGAGAACCCTGGCTTACTATGGTGGTAAGGCTCCAATCTCTTCCACAGTGACTGGCCACATCTCACTTTGGATTCCAAGAATGTACCCTCAGTATGTCACCTATTTTGCTGTCATGCCATTGATCTTTGATAGTGGATTCTTCTACTGCGCTGGTCATTCCAGACTTTATGCACTAATCCGTGGTACACCCTAACTACCAGTAGCAGATGACACTACTGATACCCTCAGTCTAGCCCGCCAGCTGAGGCCATTGGCGTGCACTACCAACTATTTGGAGCCATAAGTGAAAGTTGGGTCCTCACGGGGAACAATCTACAGTGTCCACTATTTCAGTGTGGCTGACACTTTCAAAAGTTACTACCCCTCTAAGAACCCCATACACCCCCTATAATAATCACTTTAAACCAAAATGCACATACAGTAGAGCATCGATTATCCGAAACAGTTCGGGACTGGGATTGTTCGGATAACTGATCATTTACAAAAAAATATATTAAACACAAAACTGTACTGTATATAATTTGTATCACACATCTTACAAATACATACCTTACATAATGTAATACATTAAACTAGGCCTACAGTTCAGTTTGGCAGGGAGGGGAAGTGCTGCAATGCCACAGCCCTAGCAGAAATTTGAATTTGCTGACTGGAACACTTTCGATTAACCGGTATTCAGATAATCGATACTCTACTGTACATTAAGGATTTTAATAAAATATATTGGTAATATCATTGTTTGCCTGGTCTGTCATTAGGAAGAGGTGTTGATGGTTTATGTAGGGATTAGAAAAATATGACAGTTTTACTTGAATTTGCAAAGTATAGGTGAATTAATCAATATTAAAACCAGATCCATAATTTGCACAATTTAATCACTTTTCTGTTACTTTGTAACAGATTACATCATGGTCACACCTATAGTATAATAACTAGGTATGATATACTTGATTTTTGCTATCTTTTAAATTTAAATGCATACACTAAATTTTCAAGGAGCATGTTTTAAATGTATTTACTGATTATACTGATTAATGATAAATGTTAAACATGACGTCATAAGAATCATTCCCCTCCACCCATGAGGAGGGACATTTATAGACAGTCCCTCCAACTATTCTCTTAGAACATAAATATTTACAGACAATTTATATGAAATATTTAATGCATTAAATCTTTCAAACTTACCATCGTTTAGGGACAGATAATGGTTTGTATTTATTATATTTAATTTTCCATTCAATAATATCTTTACATCTGAGACATACCGAAGTTATAGAAGTGTCGTTATAATTTTTAACGCCATGAAGATTATTTTTAAATTTTGTCGTGTTTTGATGCTTTTGACTACGAGATTTATTGACATTTCCTCTTTGAGTGCTCATCTGAAAAACATGAGGAACGTTTATAGAAAAAATAATACAGCAATAGATTTTATAAATATGTTAAAATAATCATAATTAACTGTACCTTCTCTTTACTATTCTAACCACGTGTTTTATTAAATTTTGTAACCACGTGGCGCTCGCGAAGAATCCATTTAAAAGTGTCAGTGTTGCCAAATAATATTCACAAAAATAAAAAAACATTTCTTTGAAAAATTTTAATGTTAAATTTTAATAAAGACAGGAATACATGATAGAAAAAACATATTTAAAAAATACAATTAAAACTTTCAAAAGTCAATATCTTTCACTGTAAAATGTTTAAAAACGAGAAACAAGTTAACCGGAATTCATTAAATGTCAAAATCACGACAATTCAGTTTAAAGTTTATTCGCCGTGGCCAGAAACGTTTCGTAAACGGAACATTTTGGTAAATTTTCTGGTGACAATAGCGAACTTTTCTCTTGTCCTCCTTCCAAATCTCCTAAATCTATTTTCTTTTTCAGCAAAATGTAAATGACGATGCTTATAACAGCTAATGCGTGTATAACCAACAAAGCTTCCATCGCTATAAAACTTAAAGACTGTTTATCTTGTTCTGGATTTAAAGTTCTTCTAACGAGCAAGTACATAGCACAGCTAACAAGTACTAATATACAATAAAATAGTATTTTCAACAAGGCTTGTGTTGTCAATATCCCGAAAAAATCTAAAGGAAAGAAAAGAGATTATTTTTATCTCTTCATATTTTAAGACATTTTGAAACTATAAATTACCTTTTGGTGAACCTGTCGACTGTGCCATCTAAAAAAATTTTTTATGTATAATAATCTCCCGTTGCGTCACATAAAGTTGAAAGAATTGAATGTAATCCGCGACAATTCCTTTACAACTTTTAAATTAATTTACATTTAAAGAGGTCGCTTCGATAAATATATTGAAATTTTTAAATTAAATTTACATTGTAATGTTGTTTATTAATATTATCATCACAAATAATGATTGATTTAATAATTAATTTAATAGTAATTCACTATATAAAACGAAATAAAAAGATTATATTTTCGAATTTCGTGCGTAATTTGCATGAGCTCACATTCAATTGAAAGCATTTTCCTTCTGTATATAAACTATCCATTTTATAAATACAGTACAGTATGTATTTGTTTGTAAATGTTTACTGATTTTTTTCTCTTTAAATATTTTATATTTGAGAATACAAAACAATGTTTTACATTGAAGCTTGTAGCGTAACATTAGATGAACTAGGATATTACGTGTCCTCTTTTCTCCGGATATATTCTGTTTTTTAAACCTAAAGTTTTGTTTGCAGGAATTTTTATAGGTATATAAAAACTAAAAAAATTGAAAATGTATTCGTTTTTATATTTTCTCTTCCTCATTACAAAAAAAACTTTAAAAATTATAAAACAAGAAGACAAATGAACATCATCCTATCAAACAACATTAAGGCCTACCGCTCTAGAATTCGAAATCGAATTCCAGAGTAACCCGAGGAATTTTTATGGCCGTATGTTTCGGATATCCGGGGCCTCGTTCCTCACTATTCAACTATCCTCACCGTAGCTTGGCTAAACCACGATGGTTGTTTTATCTTTTTTTTGGATGTTTCCGGCCTGTGAGCACTAAGAGGAACTTTTTTTCTATATTCGTCATGGGTTCAGTCAGTCTTACTACGGGAGCGGTCGAGAGATGAAGGATAATGTCAAGCATATCCGGGAAGTCCGTTTACAAATTATTTCTGGAAATGTTTGTTTTGATTCGATCTCGCATCCCCAAGGTGGTAGGTTGATACCTTGATCGCCTCAGCCGAACCAAGATGAATACGATTAGTTCGGTTTATTTGGTTACGGCAATGCGACACGTGGAGGATCTGCCTAGGAAGGATGCCTTCCGGGAGGACTTTTGTGGAAAACTGGCCCCTATTTAGCTATTTAGGTGTTACAAACGTGAATAAAACCGAAAAACTCCACGTGGACATCTTGTTGGCGTGGCGCAAAGCCACGACAAGTGTTCAGTGATTTTATTTACTGTATACTGATGGGTTGGATATGATTTAAAAGCTATCTTAATGCCCATAGGGCGAAAAGATTCAAAGATGAAAAAAATCTATATACAGTAAAGTTTTTCTAACTCGAAGCTCCAAGGGACAGGAAAAATACTTTGAGTTACAAACGATTCAAGTTAGAGAACAATAGAGTAAAAAAAAATACCTATTCTAAATATATTTGTATTTTTATCTCATTATACTAATAATTTTATGGAAATCCGATAATTACTATCACTTTGGATAGAATAAATATTAAAATTCGAGTAAGGAAAGTTGAAAGTAACATAAATCAATGTCGGAGGACCATGAAAAACTTCGATTTGGAGAAAATTCGAGTAATGAAATTCAAGTTGGAGATGTTAATTCCCTATGCTCTTCTATTGAGACCTACCGACTGCTTCGTTTTTTAGAGTAGTTTTACTGTATAAGCTTATACATATATATTGCAAAATTCTGAATTAACTATAAATTTATATTGATATATTCAAAACATATAAATATGGTATGATTAGTGTAATTGTATAACAATTACACAGCCACATGTCTATCAAAACATAAATTTATAAGTGAATGATTCATACAGTAAGCTTTATACTTTAATTAATGTATTTACTTAATGAAATATAATTAAATCAAATATTTTCTGTTTTACTATAATAAATATTTTATTTAAATAAATAAATATATATATAGGCTATATTGTATTTATGTAGCCTATATAAATTAAAACAAATATATAATTTTTCTATTACATTTCTGTGTAGACAATTTAGTTTCAAATTAAACTAGTTACTTTAAATAAATATGAAAAAATATTATTAATATATTGAATTAAAATTTAAAAAAAGCAATTATAACTTATTGCTAATGAGAAATTGTTAAAAAATAAATATAACAATGCTAATTAGTAATTATCTAATTAAGAAAAAAATAAATAATCTTGATAAAAACTAAAAATAAATAAAATTAATTTTTAAAAGGTAAAAAAATAAAATAATTTTTTTAATGTATAAATGCATAAAATTAATTATATAGGTAAAAATGTTCACTGTTATTAAGATAAAAGATGTAAAGTAAGCCATTAATTCTCTAATGAATAAAAAAGAAAAGAAAGAGAAAAGTCTGCTATATATTATGTAAATAAATTAAATACCATGTTTTGTTTAATAATAATTCGTGATTTTATTTAAATTTAAGTATAATTAATTACATTATTAAATATAAATATAAAAATAAAATAAAAATCGAAGAAGCGTACGTAGTCTGGTATAATTAATTACGAAATGTAGATGCTTTAGTATATTTTGATATCTTTTAATAAACGTAATGACTTTAATGCGTATAATAATCAAACGTATGAAAAGCATCTAGCTTAGGAAATGAAGAGAAATGCGATAATAAAAATATAATTAATTAATTATATTTACGAAAGTTCATCTGAAGAAGAACAATATTAATCTTATGAAGCTACTGCTAAGAATTTTTATATAATTACATTTTCCAGTTATTCAATCTTCATATTGTAAATGTTTATAGCATATTTAAATTTGGAAATTTTACTTTAAAATAGCTGATTAAATCATTTTTAGAATTTATATTTTCTCCTTTATTGTATTAAAGATGTAAAATTTAAAGATTTTACAAGAGATAAACTGTTATTAATTGAATTAATATCTACAGAAGCAATATCTATATTATTTATGAAATTTTAAAGCATGTTTGTTTGTGTACGGCAAGGCGACACGTGGTAGAGAGAGGAGAGACTTTCCTTAAGGGAAACTGGTTCGTATTTAAGTGTTACAAAAGAATAAAATCCGGAAAACTCTACGTAACAACCTGTTGGGAAGATGCGAACTCACCAGTGTTCAATGAATTTATTTCTCAGTCACTGATGGGCTTTAAGGCACATTTATTTCTGGCTTTTTTGTTCTGTGATACTAAAAGGGCCTTTTCTTCAATAACCTCATTGCCAGATCCGCAATGACGGCGATCGAGTGGTAAGAGATAGGTCCGACATATCAGTGTTAGGCTCTAAGACCGAAAAAAATGCCACAACGTGTTGTGGCTAATTCAAAAGACCACAAAACGAAATTTCGTGTCGTGGCTTTCACGATATTTGACCACTACGCATTGTGGTAATTAAGAAAAGCGTTCTGAACGATAGCTGATGCAACCACAATACGACTGACATGTTGAAATTAGTCCGAATGTTTTAGTTATGGTGCCTGATGTTGTTAGGGGACGTGCAGCTCCCAGAAATGTTTTAGCTATTGTTTTGAGCCGTTGTCATTTAATGTTAATTTATACGCTTAATACTATTTCGTAACTTAGTATAATTTATTAAACGGCAGAATGAAAAGAAAGGGAAAAATCTGTAATTATGCATACATCCATTCTAAGAAACTATGTTTAAACATCACTCGAAATTGGCTAATGTGAAATACACAACAGAAGGTATGTTCTTTGTAATTATATATCTTATCTTAACAATTTAATGCTATGTAGTAGCCATGTATATTTTAAAAATAGTTGACTGAGGAGGGATATTGTAAGCCCGAAACGCGTATCAACTAAAAAAAAATAAATAAAGGATGAAAAGCTGCCCAGTGTCTAATTGACTACACTTTATTGTGCTTGTGAAACAAAGGAAGGTCTTCTTGATCGACTTTATGCTCGTAATGAATTTACAATTTCTTAGAGTAAACTTTATTAAAACATTCAGGACGTACACTCAACTTTATTAACATTTCACTCAGAATCTACGTTGACATCTGGAAGTAAGCAAGGGTTTATAATGTGTCACTGTAAAAGATACTGTATTGATAAAAAATGCAAATGTCGCTCAAAAAACATAAAATTCAACTCGAAATATCACGGTGATAGTTCTTGTAAAAATAAATAACTCTGCAGCATTCTTGATTCTCAAAAAACAGACTGATTTAATAAAAGTTCCTGACAAAGTAATTATTTTTAATAAATTAGTTGTTTGAAAACGTTAACATCTCGAGCACCGAACAGATTTTTACGAATAATTAAAGGTTGTTGAAAAGTAACCAAGCTACATTTCTGCATGTGGTGAATAATTTTGTTACTTACTTATATAAAATAATTGAAGATAAATACATCATAATGAAAAAGAAAGTTTTATTTTCTTATCATCATCTCGTTATTAGTTAACATCCAGAACTTGTGGTGGCTTTTAACCATAATAAATTCGTCGCACAGTGGTTTTTAACTTTAGCAGCTGATTTTTATGTCATCCATCGTATAGAGTACATCAAGTACCTACTAGTATACATGTAGTTAGACCTTTAGCACTTTTTAGCAAAACAAAAAAACTAAATGTGTATTTTTCTGCATGCACTTTGTTTTTTTGAAATTTTTTAAGTATGAAAATTAAATTTCTATGAAAAAATGAACGATATTAAGTATGAAAAAAACGAAAAATTTTTGGTATTTTCCGACTGCCAGGATAAGATCCTGGATCTCCCAGAGCATAAATTAATTCCCGTCTGATTTGTAATTTATGTTTATTTTCTGTCAATAGAGAAAGGGGATGTTGGATCAAATCTGTTTGGAAAGGGGCAAAAATAGCTGGCATTCCTGATATATATATATATAAATAACACATGACTAATAAATTCTGTAGACATAGAGAAAAACATCTTTATATTTTTTTTTCCTGTGCAATAAATTCACTCATATTATCTTCCCGTTATATATTTTCATTATAAGAAAAAGTAAAACATTTTTGCAAGTTAAATATCTTTTATATAAATTACATAATGGTAACATTTATCATCATTAGAAGCATTATTTAAA